TGGCTCCCACCCTTTCCTTGCGGGTGCCTGACTGTCTCGAGTTGCTACAATGAAGTCACTCTTCCTGGAGGTAATTGCTGCTGCTGTTCATCATGTCCCCAGCACCACCCATATCGGTGACATTTCTTCATCCGACTCTGATCGTTGGCGCATAATGTGAATTTGGGAAAGAAGGTCTGGAATGACTAAGGATAAACTCTGCCAATGTGAGACACAAAACAAAACAGCCCATATCCCATCTTTCATTGACCTGCCTCCTCATGTCAGTTCTTCACCCTTCCCACAGCCTCCTGGCAGGAAAAAAAAAATGTAAAGGAGACACCACAGTGGAACTCAAAACATCCTATAACCTCACTCACCTCTTGGCAACGCCTCCGGATCAAAAGCATTCCTGGATTGTGATTCCCTTTGAGGTCTGTTCCTTTCCCATCTAGCCCACAGATTGGGAGGTAAGATTGGGTCTTGGATTTGGAGGCCAGAGACAGCCCCAGCCGCACTGACATTAAGTCAACATATTCCCCCTGTGATTTTAGGGTGCCTTCAAACACAAAATCCAGCCTGTCTTGCCCTGACAATCAGACATGCCCAAATGGTAAGCCCTTTGGGTGTTTGCTCTGGGACCCTGACTGTTCATTTTTGACATGATTCCAAAGAATATGAACCATCTTAGACACTTCCAAAATAGAATGTAGCCTCCAAAAGAGGGCAAAGCCTGCAGTCGCCTCTCCAGGAATCCAGTGGGGTTCTTGATTAAGTCATAGAGAAAAATTTTCAGAAAAGAAAGCTAAGTTTGTAGATATAGAAACAAATTTGGTCGTAGTAACAAAAACGGATGGATGATTTAATGAGGCTTTCAAGTGATAAAAAAAAAATCCTTCCAGAGCTAGTCAGGCTGTCCACTCGGGCTCTAGAATTCTACGTGCTTGGAGATGAGAAGTGGGGTAGGGAAGCAAGCAGCATAATTAAGAAAGTCTATGCACTTGGTCTCTGTGTGCCAGAGTGTCTGCATGCTCTCCCACTTTCTTCTTGCTTAGATGACTGATTTCAGTGATTTACTTGAAAGACTGTATTTCTCCATCTGTTCTTCATTATACTGACTTATCTTCCTAAAGTACAATGTGAGTCATTCTACTTCCCTTCTCAAAACTCTGCAATGGCCTCTTTTGTCATTAGGCGGCAGGAAAGGGTCACACTCTTTAATATACTTCAGTCATAAACAATCTTTACCAGATTTAAAATACTAATAGGTAACATAGAATGGGAAGCCACTAGCCAAGTGGTCAAGAGTCTTGGTGTCACAGCTCTGCCACTAACTAGCTATGAGATCGTAGGCAGAATTATGTAGTTTCTAAGCCTCACTTGTCCTTAGTAAAATGGGAATAGTGATCGTAGCTAACTCACTGGGCTCTTGTGAAGGTTCAGTGAAATGAATGAGTCCTATTTCCCACTTACTCCGTGTATTACCACTGTAGGGGATTTTCCGTTTTCCCTTATCCTTCATTCACTGTCATAGCTGTGCTGCTTGTGGTTTCTCATCAGCACATCTCTTTCTCACTCCAGAACCCTCCACTCATTTTCCACTTGCAGAAACTTTTTTTTCAGAATTCCAGTCTGGACTTGAATGCTTCTTCTGATAAGAAGGCATAAGGGGGCATCCCTTGCCCCCTCTCCCCCGCCCCCCCATCAGATTGTATTTATCGGCCTCTACACGTCTCTATTACCTCTTCACTTCCACATCACAATGTGTAATTCACATATTTCACTCTCTTTTCTCCTGAGTTGTATATTATCTGAGGTTTCTCAGATGCCAACTTTCACTTAACTTTTCCTCCATTCCTAGCACCTAGCAGAAAGATTCATACATGATAAGCACTCCATTCCATTAAAATTATCCCAGTCCTTCTTAGTTTGGTCTTCCATCCCTTAAGTAACTTTTATAAAGCAGTTTGTAAAAGAAATTGGCTAAATCCTAAATATTACTTTTTTTAAGTTTTTTTTCATGAGCCCAAATGTCCATCAACTGATGAATGGATAAAGAAGAGGTGGTATATTTATACAATGGAATGCTACTCGATGATGAAAAAGAGTGAAATCTTGCCATTTGAAACAACATGGATGGAACTAGAGTATATTATGCTTAGCAAAATAAGTCAGTCAGAGAAAAACAAATATCATGTGATTTCACGCATATGTGGCATTTGAGACACAAATCAGATGAACATTGGGGAAGGGAAGGAAAAATAAGATAAAGACGGAGGAAGTCAAAACATAAGAGACTCTAAAATACAGAGAACAAATTAAGGGTTGTTGGAGGGGAGGTGGGCTGGAGGATGGACTAGATGGATGATGGGCATTAAGGAGGGCACTTGTTGGGATGAGCACTGGGTGTTATATAAATAAGAGATGAGTCACTGGGTTCTACTCCTAAAGCCAAGATTACAGTGTATGTTATCTAATTTGGATTTAAATTAAAAAATTTTATTTTCCCTAAATATCTATGGCATAGTATAAAAACCCCACTGATAATCTGGTTTCCATTACATTATACAAAGGAAAATCATTGTCATACTTACAGATTCTCAGCTGAGATTCTTTTTTTTTTTTTTTAATGTTTTATTTATTTCTAGGAGAGAGAGAGACAGCATGAGCAGGGGAGGGTCAGAGAGAGAGGGAGCCGCAGACTGAAACAGGCTCCAGACTCTGAGCTGGCAGTCAGCACAGAGCCCGACGCGGGGCTCGAACCCACGAACCGCGAGATCATGACCTAAGCGAAAGTCAGACGCTTAACCGACTAAGCCACCCAGGCGCCCCGTCAGCTGAGATTCTTAATGCAAGTTTTAAATGACACAAGCAATGTAAAAATATTACAAAACCTTGGAAAAGTAAGAGAAAAAGCAAGACACCGTCCCACCTCTCAAACAGGAGCCTATATTCTAAGGCTTTTGCTACCTACGAGTGTGGTCTGAACCAGCACAGCCACAAACTTAGGAATGCAGAATCTGGGCTCATCTCAGAACAGTGCACTCAGAGTCTGATAGATTTACACATTAACGTGTGAAAATCACCGCTCTAAGACGCTACCACAACCCCCAAGCTTCTGCCTCCTTCCAACAAACAGCACCCGCTAGACACCAAGTAGAGTGCTGTGATTTCATCTGCAAGATCTCTCCCGGCACTGACTCAAGAATATATGGAAAACATATGAAGAGACTTTTGAGCTGTTTTCTTGGCCAAATCAAGTAGTTGCAATAAAAAAAAGCTGCCAATTTCATGAGGTGCAAACCTTCTCACCCTCAGTGATTCCACTTGTTTTTGAATTCTCACAGTGCTGTCTCTAAGTCTAAAGTTTCACGCTTTCTTAATATGCTCACTCCTTCTACGAAGGGCCCAAAACTCAAGGGGAAAAGACATTGAAATGAACATTCCACAATGGAACTTAAAGCACACATTTTGCTTGCTTGGCCAGCTTCATAAAGTTTTGTGATTAGGAATTTTTTGAAAAAAGATTTTAAGCTCAAGGAAAGCCCAGAAAGGTGACATTTCAAAAGTAAATGTTGTGATATTCTTTTACAGAGTGATTTTTCTCTGAGGAAAAAAAAATTGTGGACTCAAACAGGCAACGTATTCTCAATATCCTGTGGTGTACTTGCAAAAAGAGCACTGTGTTGAAGTGCCCTTTAAATATCAGAAGATATATGATAAATAGTGAACACTTTCTTTTTATTAAACAAGGGATACTCTTCTAAGGGGGAAAGAAAAACCCTTTTTGTAATACAATGCAGCTCAGGGCGCTGATAAGCAGGCTTAAATGAACGTTAAGAATAATCGAGAAGAGGGATTTTTAGTAAGATGTCAAAAGGGAGCCATATGCAGCAAGAGTTCTATGTACTGAAAGGTAGCTGGGGCGCAGGCATTGCTGCTGTGGGGTTGAGGGGGGCCATTCAGTGATTAAACGTCAGCCTCTGGTTTTCCCTCAGCAAAGCTCCCTGTTTCTTTTCACCTAAGCCCCTCCTGAGTCACCCAGGAGCTGCCTGACCTGAAGCCTTCCAAGCCTCACTATCAAGTTCCAGGTTGTTTTTCTTAATTTGCCAGTTTGCCAAGATGTTTCTGTGATGATCAATATGCAACGTTCTCATGGCATTAGAGACCCTATAGTTGGCTACCATGAAAAAGTACCATTTGAAGGAGTAGGGAATATTGCAGAAAGCAGGGAAACGGGTTGTGTGTCTGCAAAGCCTCTAGGCTTGAGGGTTTCTTTCCAAAGGATCTCCAAATAGTGCCGGCATAGGAACTGCTCCCTGAATGCCCCCGCATCCCCACCCCCCTGCCTTACGTGGGTACTGTGAAGAGCAAATGGAACAAAGAATTTGGAAGAAGGTTTCAAGTAACAGAATAATACAAATATAAGATATCATTATCCCCTCTCTCTAAAATGGGGGAAAGGAGTGTGTAAGTGAATCTTCGTTATGTAACGGTTGAAACAAACCATCCTTGACGTTGTCGTCCAAGTATGAGATACTGCACGTTTCTCAGCCTCTTTACTTCCCGTATTTCTGCTGCCTCTGTGGTTTATTGAAAGTGTAATACGTTCTATGTAATTGTCAGTGTGTGTGTGTGTGTGTGTGTGTGTGTGTGTGTGTGCGTGTGTTCGCGCGTGTGTGTGTTGAGGGGACAGACGGAAGGAAAGAGACATTTGTGGTCGTGTTCAACATCTGAGTGCTGGCTGCGTGGAAGGCCCGAGGAAAGACCTGGCGGGGGTCTGACCGGCCCAGGCCAGCAAGTTTCCCGGCCTGCGGTCCCCGCAGCGGCGCCCGCCTTCCTTCCCCGAAGCCGGAGTAGCGGAGGGAGGGGACCCGGCCGCGGAGGGGTGGGAGCGCTCGGAGGGGCAGCCCGGGAGGGCGCCAGCCAATCGGAGCGCGCTCCGCCGGCGGCCAATCACTGGCCGCGTAGCCCGGCAAATCTGCCCGGCAGTGCGGGGCGGGGCTGCCGGGAGTGCGGGCGCCGCCGGTTACACTTCTGAGCGCCTTCGGGAAGCCACAGGGCAGGGGGAGTGTGTGCGGAGAAGCCGGGGGAGGAGGAGGAGGCAGGCCCAGCTTCGGTGCCAGCCCAGTGACACACGTAGGGGGGTAAATCCGGCTGGCGATGTTGCGGCCGGGCGCTCACGTGTGTGTAGACCCACCGGCTTCTCTGTGCGCCGTGTGGGCACCTGTCGTGTGAGTGGCTCCGGGCGTGGCTGCTCGTCGGACGTTCAGTTTCTGTAAGATTTATCTGTAGGGGCCTACCTAGCCCCGGCTCCAGAGGGGAACGTAAGAAGTTTAACGGAGCCAGGTCTGAGCAGATTAAGGGAGTGGAAGAGCGGCTGGGCCGGAGCGGGTGGGGGACTGCGGGTGCTGGGGGATGGGGGTAGAGGTGGGAGGAGTAGGGAACCATCTATTTTGCCCCGTCTCCCAGGCAGAAGGCCCTTTGGCAAGACTGGCGTGACAAAGGTAGCCCTGGAATGTCTAGAGTGCGGACCATGATGATCACGGAGTGAGTGGCACCGGGCTGAGCCTGGGCAGTTTGTTGACTGACAAAGAGGGATGCTAGCAGTTAGGAAGGTAAGGAGGAAACTCAGGATGGGGACCATCTGCTCCCCCAACCCCAGCGGGACAAAGACATCATCGGAGGTCTGCAATGCCGACTGGATGGCCTCGCTCCCTCCTCACCTCCACAACGTCCCCCTTTCCAATCTGGCAATCCCAGGTACACTTCTATTACTACTTGTTCCCACTGTGCTTGCTTCTGCCATTTTAGTGTTATTAATGGACGGGGTTGCTTTTCTGTTGTGCTGAGAAATAATTGTCAGTGACCTTACTAAACCTCTTTTTATCTCCGACCAAAAACTCAACACTGAAGCAGCTGCGGTAAACAGATTTAGGTACACTGCATCATTGGCAAAAGAGCCTCGGGAAAATGGGAGCCCCATTTTTTGTTTGCTTGTGTGGCTCTTTTGGTTTTGTGTGGTTTTGTTTTGACTTGATAGCCTCATTCTAAGAATGTTACATTCTTAATGTTGGAACCCGGCCGCTTGAGGGGTGCATTTACCTGAATCACTTAAAGAAAAACGGAGAGATCAAGAGTAATGAATAAAGAGTCATTAGCAGTTTTTGATCTGGATCAAAATCAAAACTGAAGAGTCTTTCCTGTCTCATTCATCTGACCTTGCATACAGGAAAAACAGCCAAACAAAATAAATAAAGATTATTAGCATTAGAGGATAGGTTCAGAACCAAGCCTGAGTATAAAGACACACGTTTTTGCTGTCGGAAAAGCCAGAAACAGAGAATGCAGATGCTCATAAGAGGTCACAGGCAGTCATTAGGTGTGATGAGGTGGTGTTTGAAGAGGTCTCTATACGTACACAGGTGTCTGCCTGACTGATCTAGAACTAAAGCCTTGAGGAGCACTCCACTGTTTCTCGCCTGGGGGTTTTAGGCCTTGGCATCCCCCTCATTAAATTTTTCTTTAATTTTTTTTTAAATTTACTTCTAGGAGAGAGAGAGAGAGACAGCGTGAACAGGGGAGGGTCAGTGAGAGAGGGAGTTACAGACTCTGAAACAGGCTCCAGGCTCCGAGCTGGCAGTCAGCACAGAGCCCGACGCGGGGCTCGAACCCACGAACGGCGAGATCATGACCTAAGCGAAAGTCGGACGCTCAACCGACTAAGCCACCCAGGCGCCCCTCCCCCACATTAAATTTATTAAATGTGTCCTCTTCCTTCCACTCAAAAGTCGGTCAAAGCATGGTTTCTAGGGAAGGATGCGTGGACTCCAGTGAACCTGGTCTGCTGTGCCAGGCAGAGTCCCAGGCGCCTGTACTTGGAAAGTACCCCTAGCAGCAGGGGATGGACTGCTGCCAGTGTTCCTCTCACCTGGAGACATAACAATTGATGTTCACCCCTAGACTACCAGACAAACTCCCAGGCATCCCTGGGAGCAGTCTGATTTTTCAGTGGCTGAAAAGATGACCTCATGCAACCCAGATCTTTGCTTTCTATGCATGAGGAAGAGCAGAGCTGGCTTCGGACACAGCCTTTTCCTTTCTTGCCTCTTCTTTTGGAGGTCTTCCAGGTTCATTGTCCCTGGGGGCCCTTGTTGCTTTTGAGCACGGAGAGGGCTGCCGAATCTCTTTATGATTAGGGTCACTTGTGTTTTGTCAGCCATTGACTATGGCTCCTTGGGAAATGACAGATGGCCATGCTCCTGAACAGGTCTTTTCCCTGTTTAATTGACGCCCGCGGAGTCATCACTGAGCTGATGCACAGGCTTCTTTTAACATTAGTCATTTGTCTTGAGGCTTTCCGGTGGAATTGTTTGGTCAGGTGGTCGGGCAGGTAGTATGTGTTTGCAAACAGCACGGCATCTCAGGCAGGCCCTAAATGACTCTGTCATTCAGGGCATGTCCGGGGTAGGTCAGAGCTTCCTCCTTCCTGTTGGACTTTGGACGGCTCAGAGCACAGTGGCGGCTGTGCCTGTGGCCTGGCTGTGCGCTCTGACAGCGTGACTTAAGAAGGGAGCTGGGCATTCATTCTGCAATCTATAGGGTACCTCACAGTTACTAGAATTACCCGGGGACAGGGGAGGGGGGTAACTGGAAATGCTACCATTAGCCAGCATGGAAGACACAGGAATTTGTTCACCCTGTTTTGTGAAATCTGGTCCTTCTCTGCAGGGGCGGGAGGCGGGGGGAGGAATGAAAACACGAAAGAGAAAGAAGAAATGACCTTGACTCTTCTGGCTCCTCAACACGCTGAATTCACTTATGTGAATGCCCTTTTGCCAGCAGTGGAAGGGACTTGAGTATATGTCTATATAAGTCCAACACAGGAAAATCACATAGTAAGTGCTAGCCATTTATGGACCCTCCCCCCCAACCCTGCCCCTGACCACTTTTTTCCCCCCTACCTCAAGCTTATCATTCCCTAGCTAATGGCTAGCAGTCAAGCTCTGCCAAGGCTTGCTGAGAAATTCTGAAATACAGAAGGCATTCAGGAAGTGGTATCCATCATCTTCCTCCCCGCTTTCCCCTCTCCCTCTTCCCCTCCATAATCACCTTCATCATCATATTTATTATTTACTAAGCACTAACCTGCAGCCCCCACTGGCAAGCATTGCCCCAGATCTTTACACCTCCAAGATAGGTACTAACAGCCTCGTTTTGGAAATAAGAAAATTCTTGTCCAGAGAGGTTAAGTAATGTTTTGAAGATCACACAAATGGTAAATAACAGAACTAACATTTAAGCCCCCATCTATCTGGCTCCAAAACCATGCACTATCCCTGTGTCCCTGAGGGAGGCCTTGGAAAAAAGGCAGAGCAGCTGTGTGTGTGTGTGTGGGGGGGGGGGGGGGGGGGGGGGGGGGGGTGGTCTTGAACTAGAAACCAGTTTTCACAGACTGTCCTCTGCAGCAATGAAATAATTTTTAAAACCAGGTAATCTTTATCTGACTGATTATATAACCTGTGAAGAGATAGCTAGCCAGCTAGCTAGATAAACAGTCATATTTGTGTAAATATATATTACTCATATATCTGAGGAATATATATTTCCACGTTTATAATTTCATATGTATATATGTATTATATATGATAGATGTGTCAGTGTGTGTACATGTACATAGTGGTATAGAAGTATCCCTGTTTAGAACTAGAACCCAGTAAGTTTTACCTTCAGATGTATTGCTTAGATCTATTTTGTGTGATGTGTATGCGGGTGCGTGCTCCTGTGTCCCGACCGACGACATAGGACATCTGTAAGCTTGTGTCACATCTGTCAGGATGGGGGTAGGACAGCAGTGACCTGGGAAAGGTCAGAGAAAAGGTAGGGGTTCTGGCAATACTAGCAGAACTGGGATCGAGTAAACTATGCTAGATTTGAGTGTGTCTGCTGCATTTGCCTAAGTCGTGATGGGAGAGAGCATGTGTGAATGTGCACCTCTCAACGAAGCCTTGATGGATTATTTTACTTACACAACTGTTAGGAACACCTGTTAAAGGCCAGCAGCACCAAACATATTGAGATGTCCCAGAGAAGAACCTCATAACGAATCTCATTGCCAACTATTTAGAATGACCGGAGACCCCAGGGGTAAAGGATCTGGAAATTGCAAAAGTCAGATTTTGAAAATAGAGCTTTAAAGTCTACATGTATTTTCACTGGTGTAATGAAAGTATGGTATTCTTTTTGGGCAAATGGACTGATAGGAAAAACTTTTTCTGTAATTTTCATAGCTTTTCAATGAATTCTTTTTCTGTATTTTAGTGTATTTCTTTTCTTTTATATCACGCCTTTCCCCTTCTTTTTTATTGAAGGTAAACTATTTAGTCTATTGGAGAGAGCCTTGAACTTAAGTAAGTTGATATTGTTGATTTTGGCTGTGTGATGTTGAAGAAGTATCTGAATTGCTCAGGACTTAGTTTCTCATTTGTAATTAGGAGATTGGATTAAATGAAATATAGTCTTTTCCAAATTAAAAATATTTGATTCATTGGAGGTTTTTTTTTTTTAAATGCCTGTTCTTTATTCAAACGTGAAAAGAGATGGGAAGAATGGCTCATTTTAGGTCTCAAAACCATTTCTTTTATGCCACTTTAAAACAGGAGATGATTTTGGGATTGGCAAACAAGTACTCACAATTGCCAGAATGAAGCAGGGCCCTCTCACTTAGCATACTATAAGGGATTGTAGATTAGTGGCTCTAAATGACCTGACCCTGAGTACATTTTAAGAAACCTCCGTGCTCAGGCTTGGGGGAGACCCAAAGATGAATCAGGTATCAACCCTAGTGTAAAGAAGCTTATGATGTAGTTTTATATACATATATGCCATACATAATTAAAAATAATTGGGGTAAGTATTAAAACAGAGATACAAAGAAGGTGTTATAGAGGCACACAGAATGGAAAGATTAATTCCCATTAGCTCCTACTTTTCAGATGAGGAACTACTTTGTTGAAAAAAAATGGCATTTGACTTGAGATTTAAAGAATGGTCAAAATTTCAAGGGCTGTGGCTAGGAGATCTGGGTTAGAAGGCGACTTTCCTGGTGAAATGAGCCAATGAAGCTAAGGGATGGGGGTATGTACGGGAAGTGGTCAGAGGACTGACTTTCCTGCCTCTCGGTAATGCTATGTTCATACCTGTGTCCTAGCACTTCTAAACACATTATTATTTCTAGCTATCTGTCTTCCACATCATTGATGACAACTTGCACACAGAGAGTATGACTGATTTGTCTTTATAATCCTAGGTCCTAGTATGGGGAAGTGTCTTGGTCATTGGTGACTAGTGAACAATGTAACACGTGGAGCTGGGGAGTAAGAATACTGGAGAGTGGCTTGCTCGCAGCCACCATCCTGTTCCATTGGAGTCAGAGCTAAACTGAGTAGATCGGTTAGGCTTCCCTGGCAAAAAAGCCATATGAAGCAACCTGGATGTTTTCCGACCATTTCTTGTTACTTCTGCATAATATTCCCATGGCGCTAGATAAGGCTCATCACTGAGCCCCATTAGAAATGAAAATTCTGAGGCAGAGCAAATGGTCAGGAGGGTCAGATGCAGAATTCTGATGTAACTTCCGTGCTACGAACAATTCTTTCTCCTGGTATCCTTTCTGCCTCCTTTCTTCCCTTGTCAAAGTTGAGCTTCTCGTGTTTCCTGTCTGGCCTCAGCCTCAGCCTGCTCTCATTTCTCGTTCCCCTCTT